ATACATTTTTTTCATATATTATATTTATAATTTATTATATATTTTTTAAAATTTTTAATTATTAAAAAATTTTAATTTATTATTTTTTTTCACATATTATACTTAACAAAGATTTAAATAGTTATGCGATTATATAAATAATAAATGTATGAAATTATTTGAAAAATTATTTAATTATAAAAGAATAAATAATCATAAATATATGTATGCTGAAAAATTTTCATTGAGATAAAAATATTTATACAATACATTAAATCAATAATTTAATTGAATAATAATTGAAATAATATAAAATTTATAATAATAATATAAAACTTCAAATATTAAGCTAAATATTAATATATAAGAGAAAGAAAGAATAAAAAAAATTTTTTAAAAATAAGAAAAAAATTAAAATAATATTAATTAATATTTATAATAATATAAATAATATTACATCATTCTTTAAACTTCATTCATAAAGAATTAAAATAATTTTTTTTTATTTTACATGTTTTAAATCTTTGCATAATATTTATTTAGATATAATTAAATTTATTTAACAATAATTAAAAATATAAATTATTTTATAAGTTACATAATATATAAAATCAGAATTAATAAAATAGATATTGCTAAAATAGAATCAGAATAAAATATGGAAATAATGATAAATTACAGAATAAAAACATTTAAAGATATCTTTACAGTTTAATTATTTGTAGATTTATTGAAAAACCTGCCGAATTGGCAAAAGGTTTCGTAACACCTATTCTAAAACCAGAACAATTTCCGTATTTAACTTATTATATAACTCGTCTGCTGGATCCAGAAAGTTTGGAACCACGTTTTGAACCTTCAATCTCATCTGGAAGATGTTATAGTTGTGAAAACGAATCCTGTGCTTGTTTACATTATGTACCTTCAAAAGGTTATTTACTTATATTTCTTATACTATCAATTAATAAAATTAACATATTATTTTTTTTATACTATCTATACCTCTATATTAAATAACTTGTTATCAATTTTATTATTTATGCTATTAATTTCGTTATAGATATTGTTATAAATGAAATTGTAAATGAAATTGATCAAAATGATTTTCCACAAGAACAGCTTTTTAAATCTGATGTAATAGATGTAAAAAAATCTGAGTGGAATTATGAAGAATGCTGGATATATAAATGTTTAATGATTCATATTCTACGTTTACGTCAAATTTATAATGATTATGCTAAATTATTTGCAAATCCAGCACCAAAATGTAATCTTGTAATGAGCAGACTGTGTTTATGGCAATTATGGAGAGATTGTAATATTCAAAAAAAAATATCTCTTTCCGAAATCGATAAACATATAGGTAAATATTCATCAATTTTGATTATATTATTGATTATAGTTAATATATGTATATATATTGTTCATAGATAAAAATATTTATTATCGTTAACGACAAAATATTTTGGAACATTTATTCATCAATAGTTATAAATCTATTTATTTTAATATATTTAACATTAATATCTATTGTTGAAATAATATTATAGCAAAAAATAAAAGTACAATGGTGAAAGATCCCCATTATCCATTTGAAAAGATTGAAATCTGGCAATTTTTACACGCGTTGTTAGAAGTATCTTGGCACTTGTACACAAAATATAATAATATAGAAGTCGGAGAAATGAATGGAAAACTTGCTAATGGTTTGCACAAATTTTTAAAAAATGATATATTTCCTTATGTTGGAAATCATGTTGGTATGTAAACTATATAAAATTACACAAATAAAAAAAGATTATTATAAATATTTATATTGATATATCTCGCAAATAGAATAATTTATCTCGAAAAATTACAAAAAATTATTTATTAGGAAGAAAATTTCATTATATTATTCTTATTTGTAGCTTTCTAGAAAGTTATTTCTTTAGAAGAGTTAAAGAATTAAGCTTTTACAATGTTACATTTGCAATGAATCTCCAAACTCTTTTTTTTTAATAAAAAAGTGATAGTTTTTAGAATAAAAAGATATTATTATATCGATATTTTTGTGAAGATTATATACACTTGTGAAGATTATATAAGGACACGAGAATTTGAAGAATCGATTCAAAAAGTCAAAGAAATAGAAAAGATTGATATATAAAAATGTTCGAGACTTATTTATTAAGTTATAAATATAATATAACTATTATATATAAATTTTATTATATATAATTATATATAATATATAATTGAAGTTTAAATTAGATGAAATAAGATAGAAAGAATATGACATTCTCCGTTATATTGTCTCATTTTATTTTCATCTCGCTTCATTTATGTAATGTAAAATTAAATTATTTATAATTTAATAAATAAGCCTCAAGCCGATAATTTTGTATAATATATCAACTTTTGTGTTTATTTTTATCTCAAAAATCCTTCGAAGATGTTTTTTGTATTAATCTTTTATATTAATAATATATTATATATGATGAAAATTAAATTTGAATCTTTTGACTTATCATAGCATCATATTTTAATCCATATTCCAAAAATTAATCAAAATTTTCATATCAAGTAAAGATTCTTGAAATTAGGCTGGCTAATTCTATACTTTATTTTAATTATTATAAAAATTTTATTTTCAAAATTGATAGTAAGTGCATTTTTACGATTCTTTAGACGCACGATTTCAATTCTTTAATCAATGTAATATTGATTCTATCAATCCTTAGAAAAAATAGATTCTCTGCAATTTTTATTGCTTCCTCCTTCATAATTTTACTAATATATATTTTATTCTATAAAAATCAATTCTAAAAATAATATATATATAAATGTATGTATATTGTGAGATAAATTTAAGAAATAAATTTCTCTTTCTTTATATATCACAAAAATTTCGAATGCCTAATGCAAATTTTTATCTTCATAAGTACAAAATTATTGTTGTAAGAAAATTATTGTATTTAAATAATAAACAATTTTTATTTGAGATATCTAGATAGAAAGAAAGTTTGAATTTTTGCAGATAGATTGGTTTATTAATTAAAACAATTTTCCATATCATACAGGTACTTTATGCAATGAAAATAAGGATATATTACCTATGAATTGTGTTTTTGAATTTTATCGACAAATTGGATATCCACCTTCTGCAAGAGATCTGCTTCAATCAACATGCATCTTGAGTAAGTTAATAATTGATTTACAATATGAATTTTTCGTTTAGATATGATATAAAATATATATAATAACATATATATAATGTTAATGTATTTGGAGAATTGATTCTAGATAAATTGATACAAAGAAAAATCTCGATTAAGACTTATTTATTAAATTGTAAGTAATTTAAATTCGCATTAAAATGAAAAGGAAACAGAGTATAACAGATAGAAATTTCACTCTCTATTTTGCTTTTTCCAACGCAAATTTTAATTGCTTACATCTTATAATATATAATAAATAATTTTCAACCAATGTTTTATATTTATTTTATTCTCTAGAATCAATTTTTAAGATAATATAAAAATATATTATATAAATGTATATAAAATATTATAAAATGTATATAAATATAATATATATGTCAAATAATTATCAAGTACTTTTACATTTCGAATTGCAAAGATAAATAAATATTAATAATAATAAAGTATTTTTATGATTATTATTAGAAATCATTATCTTTATTTTAATTTTTTATATTATTATAATATTTTGGGAGTATTTGTTGCAGATTAAAAATTATAATAAAATAATATATTAAACTTAAAAAACTTAAAATTTATTTAATTATCTTATAGTTTTGTATACCAAAAAATAATTTAAACAAAATATACAAGTTTAAAGTATTTTATTAATAGTGAACAATAATGTGTTTGTACATTTCACAGTATGTATGCATGCAGAATCTGCTTAAAATCTAATTTTTATAATAATGATATTTTTACATTAAAATATATATATATTAATAATGTAGATGCAAAAGATTCACGATTGTTTGCCACGACCATTGAAAATATGAAAATATTTCCGGAGGGAATTAATTCTGTGACAATAGGTGAAAAAATTAGTTATTTACTAAAACTTAACGAAATTTTTACATTACATAATTATACGACTGATATATCAAAGAAAAATGAAAATAATCTAAGTATGTATAACATTCATCTAATTGTATAGCACACTCTATAAAATCATTATTTTTTAATTTATCTAAATTAAAAATATAATTCATATTACAGTTAACAAATTGTTGATCTTTAGTCAGCTAGGAGCTGTAAAAATGATAGAAGTTATGACACTAATATGTCCTGGAATAAAAGATACAAATACTGGCATAATTATAAATATGGATTATAAGGTATATGATTTTAAGGTTCAAATTTTAATGTAAATATAAATAAAATTCGGTAAATGTAATTCAAAATCTAAATGATTGATAAAATGGATTATTTGATTGTACTTGCTTTAGTATTTTTTAATTTTCGATATTATAATTTATTGATTTTTTTAAAGTAAACGCAATAGATTATGATAAAGTGTGCTATATTAAAAAAAATGAAAGATAATAATTTGATATTCATAAGTATTTTCAATTTTATATAATTGTATGATCAAATAAAATTACATAATATCAACAATAACATTAAATGTTATTTGATATTATCTTTTTATTTTTTGAACAATTATTCTTATGATTATTATATATTATTACTATTATGCAATTTTTATTTTATATATGTTAGAATTGTAGAATTACGAAAATGAAATTGAAAATAAGTGAATTAATAAACAAAATGAGTAAATAATGTAAACTGAAGATTATGTGAAATTGAATTTTAGCGAAATAACAATTTTAATTATAAAATTATTATTACTTATATTGAAAACATAAAATATTATAAATAGTATAGATTGTAAATTGTATTTATTACATCGATATTTATTCATAAACCAATATTGAATACCATATATAATTTAATACTTTAATCAATGATTATTTACAGATATTACAAAAATTGCATTTCTCCTAACTTAATTATCATTTGCTTAAATGTGTAATATATTTTACAGACACATCGTATACGGTATTATGCATATTTTACAATATAGAAATTGAATGTTACAGCTGACATTTCTTGAATTTTATGAAATAATACTAGAGGCAACGAAGGAATTATTATTTTTAAAAAACAAATCTGAAAAATTATTACAAACGAAAATTGAGAAGGAAATCAAGTCGGTAGAAATTAATAATTTATAAAAAAAAGAAATCTTGAATTAATGAACCTTTTTTGATTCAAAATCATTTTCCGAATTTAAAAATAGATTTAATATAATTTGTTAAAATAATAATAAAATCTGATTTTATATGAAAATTTTATCTCTCATATTATTATTTCTAATTTATTTCTAGTTTATTTCACTTTAAACATTTAGGATAACATTAAATAAAATTAAGCAGTTTTTACTGCAGTTTATTTTTAAAAATATACTTATAGTACGCAAAATTGTAATTAAATCAATTTAAAACAAATTGAGGAAAATATCTATTGAAGTAAACTAGAATTGCATTGGCACATTGATTAAAGAACAAGAACAAAAATAAAAAATAAAAACATAACTTTCTAAAGAAAATTAATAAAATAATTTATAAATGATATTAATAAAAACGACTCATTACTGCCAATGTTCCTCCAGTTCGAATAATATAAACTAAAATTTGTCATTTAATGACAGTATAAATGAAAAAATATTTTTTTTTTGCACGTATTGTTCTATATGTATCACATACATCTATATAATTAAAAATTATAAAATCCTTGATGGATAAATAAATTGCCTTTACAAGGCTATTTTTTTAATTTAATTTAAGAAATCATAAAATTTTTGGCAGCATAATATCTCAATGTTTGCCGCTAATAAATAATTTGTAGTAAAATATTTAAAAGTTATGAAAAAAAGAAAATGAAAAAAAAAATAATTGAAAAATAATAATAAATCAAATTTATATGACTTTTACATTAGTACGATATTTTTATAATAATTTTCGATATCTGGAAAAACAAAAGAAGCTTAAATAATAAAATAATTAAATGACAAACTATTCAATGCATCCAACCGTAAAAGTAATTTGATAATGTTTGCACATACAAATACGTTGGACTTTTTGGACAGGTACAGATAGAAATTTCATTCATGAAACATCATAAAATTGAAAAGAACGTGGCAGTTGGCTCTCCTTGCAGCCACGGATGGAACGATTCAGTCTTGAGCGAGCAATAACAAAATTGTCAGTGTCATCGGAACAAGCGAATCCATTACGCATTTTCACATAATGATGCAGTGGAACTTAATCGATTTTTTTTCTATGCATAAAATATTATGCTAAATATGTTCATAAAAGTCCCAGGGCTCAGGAAGTCAGAGGAACGATAGTGTGCGACTAAGTCGCTTATAATAATGTTTTTACTTAAAATGCAATGTATACGCGTTACTTCTAATCCATTATATTATCTTTTGATGTCTTCCTTTTTTACATTTATTCTAGAGATACTAAATACATACTAATTATTTGATTAAATATAAAATTTGATTCTTTTTCATATTAAAAAATTTAATTATTAATATTTATCTCGTTTTCTTCGCAAAAATAAAAATTGAAATATGGATAGTGAGAAGAATGAAAATTTGATTTAAAAAAGAAATTCATTGAAACAAAAAAAGACTTATATATAAAAATATAAAATCTCATATTTAACTGCCAATTAAAATATTATATAATTTATGTACAAAATATATATATTTTTACAAAATGTAAATTATGCAATGAATGAAATCATAAAATTATTAATTTTTAAAATCAAAATGAAAAAAAAATCTGAAGACAGACATTTCAGTAGTAGATTTAGAAGTATCGCGTCATCGCGGCTAAAGCCGGTTCAACAATCCCTATAAGTAATTCTAAAATATAAACTATATACCGATGCACATAACTACAGTACAGCACAGCAAAACACGCTTTTATGACAATAAAGCGCGACACTGTTCAAATCCTCGATAGCAAGTATATTATTCAGTTTAATAATATTTGATATTATTTGATAATATTTGAATTAAAATTAATCAATATAAAATTCTTATAAAATATGAAATAGTTATATATTTTTATTCAAAAATTATTTCAACTTGCTGCATAAGTAAAAAATAAAATAATTTATTTTTAATAATACTACTAACAAATCATACCAAAAAATGTACCACAAATATACAACACGATCAAAACTTAATTTGTATCGTAAATTATTTTCAAATTCGACATATTTCATTATTTTCTATCGATTCATTTATAAATTTATATTTTTGAGATAAATTCGTTATACTAATGATTAAAATATAAAAAAACAGATTAATAAATTGACAGTAGAAAACATTTTTCATAAAAATATCTACAACATGTATCCAAACCATTTGGTAAATAGGATACCTTAGTTTAAGTAACTTGAATGCCATCGAGCGACTGTTACATTTTACTTTGTTTAATTGATTATCGAGATACAATATGGAACGAACTAATGTCTTTATAATGCAACTAGTAGACGAACAGTGAGTCTTTTTATAAAAATTGTTCGAATAATTATTGATAGTATAATTATTAGAATGGGTGCAGTACGTAATGAGCCCCAGGACATACAATATCTCTCACGTAAGTAATGTATCGTCCAATTCTTCTATTTTGCCTTCAGGCTGAGATAAAACTTTACGCAATACTTTGCTGACTACGTCTGATAATGATTCTCTTGCACCAGCATCCAAGAAAGCCATACAACGCTGAAAAATATAATTTGTAGAATTATAATTAATCAGTATTCCAATTCAGTTTGTAGTATTTGTGTAATATAATTGATAAATACCTGATGTTCTTCTTCTCCTTGTCTCAATCTAAGTACTGCTATGAGCGCAAGTTCACTGTTAGCTTTTACATAACCATTTTTTTCTTTTGTTCCATTTACCAACATAGGTAAAAGTGATTTAAGTAATTCTGGTGACATTTTTTCTGGCGATATGTTACGAGCCAAATGAATGCAAACTTTGGCTAATAATTGTTTTACATCATTGCTATTGTTATTCATCGACTAAAATTATTTACATGATAAATTATTTATACAAATTATTTTATATTTATTTTTATAT